TGTCAAATAAATAAGTAATCTTTAAAAAAATATATACATATATTTTTTGCACAGCAAGGGAAACAATCAAAAAAGTTAAAATACAACCTACTGAATGGGAGAAGATATTTGCAAATGATATATCCAATAAAGGGCTTGTGAACAAAAATATGTCAAAAATTTATACAAATCAACCAAAAGAATGAATAATTCAGTTTAAAAATGGGCAGAAGACATGAACAGACATTTCTTCAAAGATAAATGGCCAACAGACACATGAAAAGATGCTCAACATCACCCATCATGGGAAAAATGAAAATCCATACCACAATAAGGTATCACCTCACACCTATCAGAATGGCTAAAATCCAAAACAGAAGAAACCACAAGTATTGTATAAAAATGTGGAGAAAAAACAACACTCATGCACTGTTGGTGGGAATGCAAACTGGTGCAGCCACTCTAGAAAATAGTATTGAGGTTCCTGAAAAAGTCAACAATTGAACTACCATATGATCCAGTAATTTTACTGAACATTCATCCAAAGAATATGAAAACACTAATTCAAAAAGATAAAGCACCCCTGTGTTTATTGCCTCATTACTTACATTAGCCAAATCATTGAAGCACCTCAAGTGTTCATGGACAGATGAATGGATAAAAGAGATGTGGTACAAATATACAATGGGATATTATTCAGTCACTAAAAAAGAATGGAATCTTTCCATTTGCAAAGACATGGATGGAGCTAGAGAGTATAATAATAAGTGAAATAAGTCAGTCAAAGATAAATACCATATGATTTCACTCATACATGGAATTTAAGAAATAAATAAACAAAGAAAAAAAAAGAGAGACATAAACCAAGAAACAGACTTTTAATTGAGAACAAACTGATGGTTACCACAGTGGGAGTGGGTAGGTGTATGGATGAAATTCGTGTAGGGAATTAAGGAGTGCACTTGTGATGAGCGCTGGGTGGTATGAAATTGTTAATTCACTGTATTGTTCACCTAAAACTAATATGACACTGTATGTTAACTATACTGGAATTAAAATAAAATAAAAAAATAAATAAAGCACTGTAAGAATGACTATATTCAACCATTCATCTAACTTATGAACTGTGGATAACCAAAAGGGTCAAAACCACACACACACACACACACACAAACACACATGCATACACACACACATGCCCACACACACACGTGAAACCTGGATAAATAAATATACACCAAATGTTGTAGGTATGCAAACACTACTTATTTTTTTAATTAAAAGATACTTATTTGTTTGAGAGAGAAAGCATATGCATTAGAAAGAAAATGAGCAGAGTGGGGGCAGGCAGAGGGAGAGAGAGAAGCAAAGTCCAACTGAGCAGGGCCCCAATGTGGGACTCCATCCCAGGACACTGGGATCACGACCTGAGCCAAAGGCAGACACAACTGACTGAGCCACCCAGGTGCCCTGCAAGCACTACTTTTTTTTTTTTTAAGATTTTATTTATTTATTTGACTGAGAGAGAGATCACAAGTAGGCAGAGAGGCAGGCAGAGAGAGAGGGGGAAGCAGGCTCCCCACTGAGCAGAGAGCATAATGTGGGGCTTGATCCCAGGACCACGAGATCATGACCCGAGCCGGAGGCAGAGGCTTAACCAACTGAGCCACCCAGGTGCCCTGCAAGCACTACTTTTAATGAAAAATGAATTTAGACATTTTTCTCAAATGGAAATGGTGGATATTGTTTGTGTTCAATCATGTAGCAGTAAAGAACAAATGTATATTTTTCTCAATTGTTGAAAACTCAGGTGATGTCAGTCAAAAGCTTTCTGATGTTACATGGTAGTCTAAGATTTGACAGTCATTATTTGAACAGACTATAACATAGTTTATTATAAATAATATAGGGAATACATATAGGATCTCATAGGAAATTTTCCTAAACAAATCCGTACTTTAGAATTTCTCAGAAGAAGCCGGAAGACCAATATCCTCCATAGCAGCATGGACGGTAAGAAGCATATCCGTAGCCACCATAGCCACATCCATAGCCACACCCCAGGCCACCATAGCCATAGCCCAGACCACCATAGTAGTTGTTGTGGAAGCTCATAGTGTAAGAAGAAGTCTCAGTTGAAAAGCAGGATCAGTTTCCAGGGTTTTAAGTTTATAATCAACACAAGGCCTTCTACACCAACTGAGTGGTATGTAGGGCAAACCACAAGCTCTATTGGATTTGTGCTTCAAACTAATTGGCATTATAACCATCTCAAGAATTCCTCATAACCAAAATATCCAAGACAATTTTGCTGTGTCTCAGGATGCCTGTAATGAAATCATGTGCCTTTAATGAAAGGGTTTTCTCCTACTTTGGTGACTTGTTTATTCCAGATGTGAGATCAAAACTCTATTACTGGCTACCATGAGATCACATAACCCATAGGTGTTCCACTTCTTCAAAATCCTTTTTTCCTTTAATAATATCCTCCTTCCTAGCTGCATATATGCACCCTTGGGAGTAAAAGTATGGTTTCAAAGATGTAGGAAAGGTGGGAAAATTTGTGGAGAAGATAGGGCAGAAGTCACGTAGACTACATAGAGAAAACATGGCAAGGTTCAGTTGTAAATATCTGAATGATTAATGTGTTTTATTGTGTTTTTGGTAGTTTTTTGTATGTGTGTGAAGCTGTATTATCCACTTTGGTTTATACCTCACATGTGTATGCATCTATCATTTTGTATATGATCAAAAACCACAGTAGAATCCCTAAAGTTTAAATCCATGGACCAGGGGCACCTAGGTGGCTCAGTCAGTTAATCTTCTGCCTTTGGCTCAGGTCATGGTCTCAGAGACCTGGGATCAAGCCAGCTTCACATAGGGCTCCCTGCTCAGTGGGGAGTCTGTTTCTCCCTCTCCCTCTGCCCCTGCATTGCTCGTTCTCTATCTCTCCCAAATGAATAAATAAAATCTTTAAACCAATCAATCAATCAATCAACCAATCAATCCATGGACCATGGCTATATAGAAATGGATTTACTGTATTAGTAATTTGAGCTTAAAAATCTATTCCAGAAAATTTTAAAGATTTACTAACAACATGTACTCCCTGCTATGACACAAGAGATAGGTATACCTCCTTTGATATTTTTGCCCAAAACGTATAACCTCAACTTTGTTATAAGAAAACAAACTCAAATTTTGCAACATACTATAGAACATTTGACTTTTTAAATTGTTAATGCCATAAAAGTTAAAAAGTACAGAAATTGTCACCAGTTTGGGGGAGACAAAAGACATAAGACAATCAAATGCCATGTAGGACCTTGAATTGGGTCCTGGACCAGAAAAAGGACACTAGAGAAAAAAAAAAATGGCAAAACCCAAATAAAATGTTCAAGTTAGTTAAGAATATGGTGCAAGGTTAATTTCTTAGTTTTGATAATTGCACTTGGTTATGAAAGGTATTAACATAGTTGTGTAACTGGGTAAAGAGTAAATGGGAAAATTCTATATATTTTGCAATTTTTGGTAGCTCAAATTATTTCAAAATAAAAGAATATTAAAATTATACTTGATTGTATTGATTTGGTCACTTATTAACCTTTTCATGCGTCAAACTTAAGAATCAATCATCGGTCAGGCACTACTGTGAGCATTGGAAATAGAGGAATGGACAGGACAGACAAGATCCCTATTGTTATGGAGTTTAAATTCTAGATTGAGCAAGGGCAGGAAATGCAGGCAGATATTTGAAAGCAAATGACAAGTGAAGGAGATCATTTCTGATAGGGATAAATCTATTTACATTACAAATCAAGGCAAGGTAAGGTAAATTTTAAAAGAGCACTAGTGAGAGATTACTTCAGACTAGATGGTCAGGGGAAAGGAAGAAAAGGTCTTAGCTATTTTTGTTATTACTTTCAAGGGTTCAGCAACCAACCCCCAAGCAGAAGTTTTAAGTTGGAAATAGGTTTGCTACATCTGAAGAACAAAAGGACTACTGATTTCTATGTATTATAAAGAGAGGAAGAGTGTTCCAACAGATGCTCATAGATCTAGTTAAGGCTAGAACAGGGCAGCCCATAAAGGCTGTGTTTCTAAGCTTCCAGTTACTAAGTATAGGAAATAAGAATTTGATTTTCAGATAAATAATTTATATATCTAAGCATATCCCATGTAATATTTGGGAAATTCAATATTCTGAATTCAAATTTTGAAATTCAGATTTAACTGGGTGTCATGTAAATTCTAGCAACGTTAATGTGGAAATGCAGTAAAGAATAAACCAGGGGGAGGAACCCCAAGTGATTTATGTCTTGTATGCTTTAAGAGGTAGAAGGAAGGAGGGAGGGAAGGAGGGAAGGAAGGAAGGAAGATAGGAGGGAAGGAAAGAAGGAAGGAAGGAAACTGAGTCTACAAAGAATCTAGAACTTAGTTTCATTTTATTATATTTTTGATGACATTTAACACTCTAAGGAGATGTCAAGTGATCATTTGGATATATACCAGAATTGGAAATGTGAATGGAGATTAATTGGATAAAATAATGTATCCAGAATAATCCTGAAAGTTTAAATACTATATTGAATACTACAAAACTAATATAACACAGACTATGTGTTATCTACACCAGAGTAAAAAGAAAAAAACACTTAATTAAAAAAAAAAGTGTTTAAATGTAAACTATAGGCAGGTCAAGCACCTAGCTGGGCACCTTCACATTTGAAAATAAGATCTGAAGAGGAGAAAAGAAAAGGGATACTATACCAGAAGCACCTGGTGATACTACAATTAAATCCAATGTGTGCAGTAGGATATAGATAAGCGTCAGGGAATTTTTTAGGAATGAGAAGAGGAGCTGGTGAATCTGAATGCTACTTAGAGTCTTAGTGAAATGAGGACTGTCTCTCAAGCTTTGACAAGGTTGGGGTGTTGGTGACCCCTGCAGGAGCGGTTTTGGTGGAGTGGTGAGGGCAAAAGACCAAAAGTGTGAGGAAAGACGTAAAGAGAAAGCTACCATGGAAAAAGACGTGCAGTTTTGCAATGAAACAGAAGAAAATGTGAGAGCAGCTGGACAGGACGAAGGACACAAGGAGGGTTGTTTCATTCTGCTTTTGATCATGGAATGTACTTCAGAACTAAATGTGGTTCAGAAAATCACAGCAGAAAACAAATTGTTAATGGAATCTCCTTGGGTGCAAGCTCTCAGTTATGATCAGAGAGACAACTTGGTTGTTCAAAAGAAACAAATTAGCCCCAGGAAGTAAATTCTATAGAGATACAACCCCATAAATAATATTATTAGGGGTATTGTATTGCACAAAATAATAATGTCTTTTACAGCTGTATTAATCAAATACCAAAAAAAAAGTTAATTATAGTTGATTTTTTTTTTAACTGACTATCAATTTCAGGTGATATTCTAAGAACTTGACCTAGAGGAAGCCTGATCAGCATGTTATTCAAATTAGTTTTTACCAAAAACTTATTCTAACTTATTACTTAATTGACTGTGATAGTTGAGACTACTTTTAATTTCTGTATGGAAAATCTGAAAACAATAGAGTGAAGATGTCCTCTCCTTCTAAGATGTCAATCCACTAAATGGTGAATAAAATGACACAATAATATGCCCATTTTACAAAAATGAAGCTACCAAAAGACACACATAGAAACAACATTCAAAAACACACACTAGATGAAAGGTTGAATGTGTTTGATCAGATCCTCAGTGTGAAAACATTTATTTTATTAAGAGGCATTGTTGACTCCTTAGATATACTTAAAAGACAGATGAATTGGAAAATTTTAAAAATTTTGCGTCTTCATTCTTATAATCTATGGAGAAGAGTTAAGTAAAATACAGAGAGTGTCCATCATCTTTTACTCCCTGTCTCCACGTATGGTTATGAGGGGATACATAAAAGTAATAGTTTGACTCAGAAATATCACTAGAAAAACAAAAACACTGACAGATTCCACATGATGTGTGGATGACACCTCCCCACACACATTCTTGGAAAGACACAAAGGTACATTTTTTTAACTGTCACATGAAACTATTCTCACTTTTCCAGTGCCTTCCAATGGGAAGAATTACCACATTAATTTAAATAAAGACTAATAATGGTAGGGCTATGCAAGAGAATGCAGTATGATCAGTTACGTAGAGAATAATGCTAGGCATTTCGATAAAGGAACAGACCTCTGTGTAATACATTGTAAATGCAAATATGCAATGTTAAACCTATTGGACAGCTCCTTAGATTATTATTCTAATATTGATGAGAATACTTATTTGTATAATTGTATGCTCAATGTAGAGAGAGAAAAGCAGAACAATTGGATTCCAAGGAATAACTTACTTTGTAGTTCTTCAGTAGAAATTGAATATAAATGGGAATTAGACTCATTGATACACATAGAAAAGGATAATGCATCTTGTTCAGACTTGGTATTTTGGAAAATTTAATTGAATTATTATCAACATCATGGGGATGAAAGATACATGATGGTTTTAGTATAAAAAGGAACTGAATCCCTGCAGAAAACAATTAACTTGGCTCAAAAGAAGAGAGTCAAAAGTAGTAGTATTGTTATGAATTGTAAAAAAACATTAGTGAAACTAACTAGTGCCAAGAGCAAATAAGATTGAGACTGATAAATGTATTCTTTCCTGATACAAAGAATGGTTAAAGGAAGCTAAAATGAAATTCTAATTTGAGGCTGGGCTGCATAGGTGTGAGTGTGTATCTCCTCTCCTTGAAGCCCTTGATTGATTGGGAGTCCAAATGGAGAGCCAAACACAGCGAGCCTCCCAAATACCTCTAAGACTTATTTTATGGTTGAGGAACAACAAACTAATTAGATTAGTCATAAGATTAGCCAGTGCCATGACTCCTGCAGTGTATCCCACCCATACTGAGGGTATATAAAAGGTCTCTGCAGGGGAATTGTCCACACTGAAGTGACACTTCTCTCCTCCTTTACCCAAGGACAACCTCAACAACCAACACCATGTGTGGCAGCTACTACGGAGGCTGTGGCTACGGAGGCTGTGGCTATGGAGGCTGTGGCTACGGAGGCTGTGGCTATGGAGGCTATGGCTACGGAGGCCTGGGCTGTGGCTATGGTTCCAGCTATGGCTGTGGCTTCCGCAGACTGGGCTGTGGCTATGGCTGTGGCTGTGGCTACGGCTATGGCTCCCGCTCCCTCTGTGGCTGTGGCTATGGATACGGCTCTGGCTATGGCTCTGGTTTTGGCTGCTACTATTGAGGTCGCCATGGGAGACTCTCACCTTCCACACCTGGACATGGGATTCACCAGTTCTGAGCCCCACACGTCTGAACTTTGCTGAAGAGCTGCCGTCAGGAGCCCTTTGGGTCAGATACAGCAATCTTTTTCCTTCCTGTACTTACCTCATGAGAAGTGGGAGCTTGTGAAACTCATCCTGAGAACTGTCTGGTCTCTCATTGGAATGATGCTGCCACAGGTCCTCCCTTTTGATGTTCATGCAGGAACCATTTCTCTAATTTCCTAATAAACTCTTTCAGTGTGGAATAATAAACCTGGCTTTCTTGTCCTTTAAAGTCCAGTATTTGTCATTTTGGCTTTTTTTTTTTCCCCCTGGATGAATTAAAGGAAACAACTGCCTTTTGGGGAGACATCTTGTTTTAATGTTTCTACTTCAGTTGTTTTACCAAATCCTTGATTTGCAACACTAAGGAAGTATCAAACTTGAAGCCTTCATTTTTCTGCTTTGGTAAGGTACTGATAACCATGTGCTATGCAGGTGTGTTGTGAGGATGAAAACAGGTAATTTTTCAATTTAGTTAAGCATTGCCTGGAAACACTATATATTCAAAGTACTTTCATACCAAACCTTAATAGCAAAATCCTTTAGAAGATGCAGAAGTTGGTCCATAATTCTCCAATTCTAGTCTGTTTGGAGGCTTATTTACTTATTTATCTATTAGGTAGAGAGACCATGAGCAGGAGAGAGGCAGAGACAGGCAAAGAGAAACCCCCAAGCAGCCTCTGTGCAGATCTCAGGACACTGAGATCATGACTGAGCGGAAATCAAGAGTCAGAGACTTAACCAACCTGGGATGCCACCCAGGCACACCAATGTTTTGGGGCATATTCAAAGAAGAAGCATTTCCAGGGTGCCTATGTGGCTTAGTGGGTTAAGCCTCCGACCTCGGCCCAGGTCATAATCTCAGGATCCTGGGATTGAGCCCTGCATAGGGCTCTCTGCTCAGCAGGGAGCCTTCTCCCCCCCACCCCCCGCCTGCCTCTCTGCTTGCTTGTGATCTCTCTCTCTCTGCCAAATAAATAAATAGAATCTGAAGAAGAAGAAGAAGAAGAAGAATAAAAGGAGGAGGAGGAGGAGGAGGAGGAGGAGGAGGAGGAAGAAGAAGAAGGAGAAGAAGAAGGAGAAGAAAAAGAAGTATTTTCTATGCTTGCTTAATGCAAGAGGTAGAGAAGTTTAAACCTACTGTTGTACCTAACTTCTATGTGTCTGGAAATATATAGCTTTTTTTAAGTGACACCTTTTCTACCAACTAGTACGTATTTAAGCTTAGAGCCACTTGGTGGTTTTCTTGAGATTTCTTGTTCCTGTGATATATGTGATTCATGGTTGTAGCCATAATCGTTTCTTTCTCCACTAATTTTCTGTGACTAATGTATCTGTAAACGTGGCAATTATTTTCTCTTGATAGAGTATTTCAAGCTTTTGTGTTAGACATGAACGAGTTTAAGTAGCGTTTTAGTGTAAGATAATGGATCTGTCCCAATTCATTTTGACTGGTCCAAGATAGTAAAAAAAGTTGAAGCCATGGAATCAAGATCTCTGGAAAAATCGTTACCCAGAAGAGAGCCCTTTTTTCCTTTAAAACCATTACTTATGAAGACTTGTCTTTCCTATTTATTCTGGAAGCTTAAAATTTTCTTTTAATATTATGCAGAATTTAGATGGTTTATGCTTGTCCATCTCAAACAATGGCAGATTTTTTAAAATTCTTTTGGCCTACCTGGTAGGTCATAACAATGAAACACAAAGAAATTGGATATTGACTTGAGTTAGAGAACAGATCCTAAATTAAAGACTCATGAGACGAGACTGTTACGGATTATAGCTTTCCAAGATCTGCCGCTTAGCCTGTCTTAGCATGAACATATTTGGCTGACATGTTAGCTTCTCTAAGTATTTTGCATCAAGTGAAATGCCACCACTAACAGCCCCAAACAAGCATCTGCTTTGTATTCATATTGGCTGGTTCTCTTCTTTAAAAGCTTCAAATGATGAATAATTCCAACTAAAACTGAAAAACATAAGATTCTTTTACATTTTACCCCATGCCACCGTTGCTTCTTTCTTACACTGAAAGCTCCAGATCCCAACAGCATCACTGTATTAACTCTATTCAAACCTGTCTACAAAATTCACTCTCGAATGCATCCTGAAAGCAATGTCCTGAGCAACTGCTAAAATTCCTTTGCAGCATTCTTAGCATTAGAAGGGATTCCACAAAGAATGGACAGAATATTGTACTCAACATTGATATGGATTAATTTTCTTCCTGAGTAGTTATGCTATTTATCTTATAGAAAGAGTTCTTTTGTTTCCATTTATATTTGATTTCAAGTGTATTTATTCTGTTTTTAAAATATGGGAAGTGTTTCCATGGTTCAGAGATCAAAACTATATACAAAGATACACTCAGTAATAGTCTCACTCCTGTATTTATTCCTTCTACCCATTCCCGCTCACCCAATTTGTATTTTCATTTTCTTCTGCTTTCTTAGTACAGAAGCAAGCATACATCTCATAATTACTTGTTCTTATTGTCCCCCTGTGTTACCTAGAGGTCGTATGCTTTTTCCTAGAGGTTGCACTCTCTCATTTTTATTTTTTATGTTTTTTTTTTATTTTCCCTTTTACTTTTTTTATACTCATATTCAAGCTTTCAAACAGGAGTCACTTACATTTAGGCATTCAAGAAATGACTCACTGAAGATTTCAGTACTGCAAAATAATGTTTTTCTCTATATCGATTCATTTCTCCCAGCATTTACTTTTGAAAAATTTCAAACCTTCAGTTAAGTTGAGAAAGCAGTATAAAGAACAGCAAAGTCCTCTTCACCTAGATTTGGCAATTGCTGGTATTCTGTCAGTTTGGTTTCCCCTTTCTCCCTGTCTGCTCGCTCGCTCTCTCTGTCTCTCTGTCTCTCTGTCTCTTCACAGCTTTTATTTTTGATAGAGAATCCAATGGATGAAAACTACCATACTTTGCAATTTGTTGTCTGTCATAATCTAGAGCACTTCCCAACCTCTTATTGTTATTATTATTATTTTTTTAAGATTTTGTTTGACAGATCACAAGTAGGCAGAGAGGCAGGCAGAGAGAGAGGCAGGGAAGCAGGCTCCCTGCTGAGCAGAGATTCCCCATGCGGGGCTCGATCCCAGGACCCTGAGATCATGACCTGAGCCGAAGGCAGAGGCTTTAACCCACTGAGCCACCCAGGCACCCCCCAACCTCTTATTATTTCATGAGATTAACACATTAGTACATTTTTAACATTGCAAGATAATCATTTACTAAAATACATCACAATCTATTTTTTCTGACTCTAGCAATTAAAATAATCATATATTTTCCAAAACCAATATTTTTAAGACAGAGATTAAGATCATTTGATATGCTAAAAATAAGGAAATTTGTGCCAAAATTAGGTCAATCAAGCCCTGAGTGAATATAAGACAATTTTGTGCTCTTTTTGGTGGGGGGGGCAACTTGGTATTCTATGATAAATTCTGAGAACAAAACCCAAGTATTAAGTGTCAAAATTATATCAGTGAGCATCTTGGGTAATAAGTGAATTACTTAAGAACTTTATATTAATGTTTTCATATTTATAACTGGATCACCCCTAACATATGTAAGTTTAAATATTGTGTTATCACCTTTAGTCCAAATCTTCTGGGATCACTTGGTACAACACCACTCTATTCCTCTTCAGCAATGAAGAAATGACTGTGCAGTTGCTGGGGGTGTTACAGAGTACCATCAGGTGAAGAGCACCGTCAACACAAGATACCACCCACTTCCTGCAGCCAGACTCCCATGATTGATCACTGGAGGGTATAAGGACACACCTTCTTGCCCCAACCTCCAACAATTCTTCTGGGAAATCCCAACTTTCGAATCTTCCATATTGTTTCCTGAGCCTTCCAATGAGCTGACTGCCAACTCAGCTCCCTCCCTACCCCAAGCTGCCTCCTCCTCTTCCTTTCTACAATATTCATTCCAAGAATTTAATTGTTGTAATAATGCTCTGATAGAAAAATAATCTAATCTGGGGTCACAAATGTGCCCAGTTGTCACACTGTTTTAAAGTCTCTTCCCTGACTTTAATATTTCTACAGATTATAGGAGATATTTTCTTTTAGAATATTCCACAGTTCTGATTTTCCTAATGTTTCCTTGTGATTAGAACAAGGTTATGCATTTTGTCAAGCAAATAAAGGAAGGGTTGGTGTTTGGTTTTTGTTGGACTCTATTGGGTGGCACTTGAGGTTGATGAGTTCCATTACCGATGGGGATAATTTTACACTTCATCAATATGATGAGCACCAGATTCCTCTACCTGAAAGTTACTTTTATTATTCTTTTAGCCATTAAGAAATATTTTGGCAGAGATATTTTGTGACTACATGAATATTCCATTCAAATGCCCAAATTTATCATTAGTCTTAGCACTTATTTTTCTTTCTTGCCTGAATTATTTATTATGATGATGGATTGCGAATGTTGATTTTTCTCATTTTCATCTTTTTTTTTTCCCAAATGTATTAGTTGGCATTCTTCAAGGAAGTTTTTCCACTTCATTGTTCAGTTATTTACATCAGTCTAAATTCATTTATTTCTATTATTTATAATTTCTATTATAAATAATCCATTATTATAACAAGGATAGCAACTCCTAGGCTTTCTCATGAGGCAAAATGTATGAATAAATATATTGCATTGTGTGAGATTTAGATTCTTCCACTTAGCTGCCTATAACATTGGTTAAATTATGTAAATTCTTAGGCCTTGTTATTCTTACATAAAAATCACCACCTACAGTTTGGTGTTTTTATGAGAATTAAATGTGTCAAGATATGTAAAGCATTTAAACCATGCCTGGAATTTAATAAATGCTATGTATGTGTTATCAGACACTATTATACACATGGAGTTTTTTTTTCTGCTTCTTCCTATATATAA